ATAATATTATAATTATAATAGATATTTAGATATTAAATTAATATTTACAAATATTAAAATAATGCACAAAATTAAATTTTTCGTCACTTTGACAGAGCTAACTAGTAAAGTACCTAGTAAATACACAAACATAATACGCACGAAACAGCAACAGAGAATATGAACCGACAGTTGTCAGTCGGCGACCGGTGATCAACGAAGTATTATCGTTAGACWCCAATGTTACTTTAATCTAATCTTAAAACATATTATTACTTATTGGGCAATTAGGAAAATTGTTATATAAATAAAATATGAAACATATTTTTTGAATGTACCTAGTATCTTAATCATAAAAAGATACTAGATACAAGTCAATAAARTATTTAAATACCCGATAGAAGATACATTCAAATTATGTATCTCGATACARGATACAAGATACAATTGTATCTAAGATACGTATCTTAAATACTAGTATCTAAGATACTGCCCAGCCCTGGGTGCATGTCGGATCTCGGATGCAGTCCGATGACCTATGCATTTAATTTTTGAACAGTGATACGATTTTACGCGATCCGTCCTATGTTATACATTATCTATRATTATAATAGACAGCTAAATTATAAATAAAAAATTCTAATTTTATCATCCACGGTCTTAAAATATCAAAAATTCTACATTTTAATTTTTAATATGAGTGTTCAATTATAGCTTTTGGCTAATGAATACAATTACATAATTTCCATTCTTTACGATTGAAAACTAGCAGTGGGTTGAACTCAAAAATATGGTTTGGAATCAAACTTTTTAATTGTATGCCGATCCATAATTTTTAACTGAATGCTGACCCAAACAAAAATTACAATTTATGTTATTAAGTACTGTAAAAAATAATAATGAAAAGCGGGATTCATTTTGCAAAAACAATTACTGTCTAGCTAGTCTGTTGTTTTTCTAAAAACCTATATACCTCAGTAGATGCTTACAAACCGATACTGTTAAATTATCAAAATTGAATGTTCTTTATTATTTAGATAYGTGTACACTGTACACTTATAGCTATTTATTTTAAAAATATGTATAATTGTATAATTGAAGGTACCTCTACAGACCTATAGTCTATTCTTTCAGTTTTTATTTTAATTTATTATTACAGCAATTCTTACATAAAAAAACACTCCAATAAGAATTTGTTTTTTTTTATAATTATTTAACTAATAACATCATTTCCTTAGTAAATAACTTAATCAAATTTGAAATAATTTGCATACAGCACATTAAGTTAGGTATTAAGCTAACTACTAATTGAATCAATAAAATAAATTCCAAATATTTTTCARTTGTTCCATATTGTGAATGTATTGAACAATTCGTATTCAAGCCTCWGATTTATAGCAAATGCATATTCTTTTACATATCATTAAGGACAATTTTTATTTAAAGGACAGCCTGTCATCTCTTCTATAAGTCTTTAATTCTATCTGMTTTATAACTTTAACATTCATAATCATAACATATTAAATAATACATAACCTATTGGATTTGAACAATTAACGATTGAACTATAGTGTATAAAGCATATACTAGGTACAACTGGTACTAGTTATTTATAATTAATAATAGGACAACTTCATATTATATAATCAAATTAAATTGTATACAAAAATATAAACTGTAATTGATCTGTATAAGTATTTTTTTCTTCGTATTTTAATTTTAAACGAGTCATAAATTACTTAAGAAAATGACAAAAAATTGTTTATTTTCTCTTTCTAGTCAACACTCAACATTGTTTCAATTCAACAAAATTCATTCAAGCAAAATAATTTATTATTATCTTAGAGTGAATCAACAAATACATAAATTATGGTGAAATAATAGGTATTGTTGTGTACCTAAACCTAAGACATAAGTTATTATAAAGTCGTTTAAATTCTGTTTAAAAATAATTTAATATTCATTTAAAGCAACACAATTGTTTTTTTTTATTTTGAAGTAAAATAATAATACTGTGTCAAACCTCAAAAATATTCTCCTTTATAATTGTTGCAATAGATGATTTCAAAATTTAAGATCATTCAAAAATTATAAAATAAAATCTATATATGAACACATTTTATCCATGATGTGGTTGGGACTAGAAGGAAACAAATAWTGTACTGCCATTTTCTTAAATAACTCATTTTTTCACATTCATATTTTAATTAATAAAATAAGAATATATAAAAAAAAAACTCTTTGCCACGTAAATACTAATGCTAAACTAAATAATTGTCTAATTGTACATACTGTATTCAGAATAAATACATTACGGTTCCAAATTAAATATAAAAATTAATTTTATTAAAACTGAAGTATACATAACACAATATGCATGATTTATTTCTACAACATTGTTCTATCATTTTTCTAAGGCTCTAATTATGAATAGAGTCAAATAATACAGATGCGAATAGTTAATAAAATAGTAAATGGAGAAATGAGCAAGTGTTACAAATTAGAATTTTTTTTTTTAATATATAAATCCAAACCATATCTTTATACACAAACAATATGAATATGGTGTAAAAATAGGAACAGATTGGATTTCTAATATTTACTAAAATTACATGGGTATTGTAACACTATAATAAATACTAGACAAACTTAAAAACGGTAATATTTAAAATATAAAAATACAAAATATACATAATATATATTATTTTATTTTAAGGTCCGCAACTAATGCTAAATGATCTGAAGGAAATAATAAACTCGGAATACCACCATATTGGATAACATCATCATGTGATGGCATGGATAATACCTAAAAATAAAAATAAATAAAATCTGTCAAAAATATTTCGCATATAATAACTTTTACCTGAATAAGCTCAAGATATTGATCGGTAAAATATATGTAATCTAAAAGACCAAAAAAACTTGCGGTGTAATTAGTGTACAAAATGTCTGTATTATATGCACTTTCCATTTTAAATTCAAGATTATCTTTTAAGTCGTTTAGTATTTTTACCGTTTCTGAAAAAAATATAAATTAAATTATATATTAAATTAAGAATTCTATTGGCTCATAAACTAAAGTAATTGGTGGATTTTCAAGATTAGTTTAGACTTCCAAGTGAACACCATCAAATATAAGTATAACTATGTCTAATTTGTTGATTAAAATCACCAACATGATTTCCATAATAAATTATTTGTCAACACTGTAGCAAATAAAATATAACATTTATAATGTATAATGATATACTTATACAAATATTTATACAAGTCATAAATCCTAAATTCTGAAATAAAAAGTTTTCAATACTTAGTTACAACTGAAATTGGGAGTCTCTAGATACTTGAGAAGTTTAAATTGATTATATGTATTTTTTTTTTAATGAATAATTGAATAATGCGTAATACAATAAGTAACAGTAACTTGAATTATTTTAACAGTTCTCTCTAAAAATACCTTGAGCCAGAAAAATATTTAGTATACATATTATATATTAATAAAAAAGTATTTACTATGTTTTTCTGGAAATAATAATTTGGTGACTAAATCATAAACGCCGCTTTCAGGTGTACTGTTGAAATCTCCACAGAATATAACAGATACATTACGTCCAAAATACTGAAACATAATACAAAACATTATGTTAATAATTTATTCTTTCAAATATATTAAATTTGGTATATTTTTTTATACAAAAAAATAAAAGTTTGGGAAGAAAATTTATGTTTGTGTTTTAACAAATAATTTTATTTAGTAGGATTTTTAAGTTCTTTGAAGAAAAAATGATTCTAATTAATTTCTTAGATAATGTCCTTACATAAAATACAATTTTTTTCTGATTTTTATGTAGGTTATGTAATAAAATGTATTTAATATATATGTTTATGGTAAAATAAGCGTCATAATAATAATTTAGTCTTAGAAAGAAAATGAAGTGAAAATAATTTAATCCCTTTTATGATACTAATTTAGGTTCTTACAAGGTAAACTACGGTTGGAATTTAGTTAGCACGATATGTTGGTCAATATCAAGAAATATTTTTTCACAATTTAAAATTATAAATAATTTCTATGATTCCTAATAGCTTTAAAAATATATATATAATGCAATTTTTTACACAGTTAAATTATTTTTCAACATAAAATACTTACATCTTTCTTTATATTTTGTTTTATTTTATTAATAATAGTTAGTTGAATTAAAGCTTGAAACAATCTTATAAAATCACCTTCTGGATCAGATATCAAATGAGTATTGCATACTAGGAATAATTGTTTTTTGTCAGAAATCAATTCAAAAGCTAGAACCTATAAAACAAGAAAAAATGTTTAAAATATATTTTTTAATTGAATACTAATAATAACTTTACAATATAAAATAACTAATAAGTAAAGTTCTTTTTAAAAAATAAATTCCATGTAAATTAAGAATTTTAAAATCCCATAAAAATACTAATATCAGTTATAATTTACTTGGAAAACAGTTTTTTTTTCTAATCCTTGTTTCCATTTTTCATCATCCATAATGTCTTTTATAATAGGTCCGCAATATAATTCCAATGCAGTTTGGTCATTCAAACTAATATTAAATTGTTCTAATAAACTGAAATACGTTTAAATTAAACTAAATCACTAAAATGCCATTTAGTATAAAAAATAATACTGTATAACATACTTAAATTTATCAGATGAATAAAAACAGCTCAGACCTTCATTCCTATGGCCATTTTTTTTTAAAAATAATCCAGTCATGCCCTTGAATTGTTTTAATATAGGACATAACTCTCTCTGAAAAAAGAGCTTATCTACTTCTTGCATGCAAATGATATCTCCATTGTAGGCTATGTAAAGATAATTAATTAAACATAAATTAAATTATTTACATCATATCACTTAGATACCTTGAAGCTCTTTTAAAATAAGAGGATGCCGATAACTGGATGCTATAATTTTTTCTGGGCAATACGGATACATTTCATATTTTGCTTCCAAAGTTCTTGTATATTCTCCAGCTAGCAAATTGTATGTTACAACTCTAATACTATAACATATAATAATAAGTGATCAGAGTTAGTAAACTGCTTATACCTTATAATAATAACATCCATTATTTATTTTTTAAGAACCTTAGGTACTTAATAACATATTGATTTTATTTAAGATTACAAATTAGTAAATAGTCTTCAATTATTGTTAAAATTAGTGTCAATTACCATTCTTGAGAATTACAAAAACAAATAAATAATTAATTCACCTTACCTATTACATGGCTTAGTCTTTAATCTCTTTTCAAATGGGTAGAGTTTGRTGGTATTTTCTRAGACTGTCAAAGATGTTATTTCTGCTGCAGGTCCTGATTGGCCTTCATCATTAAAAGGATTACACACCAATTTTAGATGACAGTTAACATCCTCAGCAGTAGGTGTATAGATCATTTCATTGCCCACTTCTATTTCATCTTTTGATTTAATTCTGTACCATGTATACTGAGTTTTAATGACAGATACATTATATCCCAGATCAAAAGCATTAGGATATATCATAAGTCCTTGATATGGATTATATCCCAATTTAAATTCGTTAATTATTGGTGCATTAATTATTACTTTATATGCATGATCTTTAATTTGAAGCGTTATATTTTCTTTTATTTCCTCAAATATTTCATAACACTTAGAAGTATGAGGTACTTTGATTCCATTCACTTTTATTAAGACAAAATTGCTCTTAAGTTTTTCAGATTCACTAACTTTGCGTTGAGTTAGTGTTAATTTTAAAGCCAGTCTGTCAACAAACATTTTAATTGTATCTTCAGGATTTCGACACAAGTTTATTCTTCTTAGTTTGTTAAATGGTGATTGTAGAGTTACCACCAATTTTCGTTCGGTCTTACCCGTTGGAATCACACAGTTGACAAACATTGTATTTTCCCATAAAAGTAATTTAAAAGAAGACATATTTCTTTTAGTGCAATAGATATGCTTGGATAACTTGTTGAAATATTTCATAAGATATTCTATAAAAACAAAATAAATTCATAAATGTATTATTTATAATTATTATGAATAATTTAAATATATTTTATAAGCTTTGTTTTTGCACCTAGAAAGAATTTAATACCGCAGCATTTGGAGTTAACAGTTACAGGAAGCAATTGATACTTTAATCTATGATTCGTAAAAAAAAATGAAAATCTATGGTATTTGAGATTACATAATGTAAAAAAAAATTTTGCAAATGGGATAGTTACATAGAATTACATAGTCTATTAGTGAATACGTACCTAAATTATATACTTTATTATGTAAACTACACATATACGACAGACTTCAACAAAATATGAAAAATAAAAAATAAACTGGAATAATGCAGATACTTGTCTTAAAGAAAATTGTTCTAATTAAAAACATGTGAGATTAAAATAGATACTGCACAGATTACTAGGATTCATAGACATTAAAGACTGAATTATAAAATTCACTAGTTAAGTAGTAAGCAGTAAGTATACTAAATCTAACCTACAAAACTAACCAAATCAATTTTAAAAATATTAAGCTTATTATTATAATAGCCAAAAATGTGCATACTTACATTGGTATTTATTTTTAAATAAAATATTCAATACTGATCAACAATAAAAATTTTTTTTATTTTAAATGTTCAACGAGATACTGTAGTCTACACTAGAGGTAAAACGTTAGGTTACCTATCCATTCTGATTCTGAACAATGACAATGTTGGATAAAACTAACATGGCTGACCGGCTGACGGTTGACATCAAGCTTAAGCCTTAAGCCATAAAAGATTTCAAACACAGAACAAAATGAAAAATTTGGCCCAATCAAGTAATGCGTCTGTAGCGCTRCACCAGTGTGGCTGTGTGGCAGTGAACCACTACGACTACAGGAAACCCGGCACATTATCAATGATAACACATTTAGATGATAACAATAATATGATAATATTTGTTTACAACGACAGGCCCTAGCACGAATAAAATAAAATCAATTAGTAATAACTATTAACTAATAAATAATAATATCTTTATTATTTATTGATGCGACAGACGCCTGGATCTTTGCAGCTCGCTGTAAAGCATAATATTTTTCGAATTCATAATATTTATTTAAACATTTTCCAAAATTGTACTCTTTTTTTGCAATTAMCAAAATAAGAAATAACAATTACATTAGTAAAATGRTACTTAAATGGTCCATTCATCTAACGAATGACGATTATTCTTGTAAATTAAAGTGATAAAAATTAAGAAACGAATGAATTTCTTGACATTGTAAAATAAAGAATAGTTATTAAATTCTGAGCGAAGCGATAAATGTATTAATTTTGTAATGATGTATGTGTGTGTGTGTGTTTTTTTTGTGTGAGTGTATACGATGTAAGCCGTTAGGTATTCGAAATAATGAATCATTGAATAACATTAATTCAACTTCAGTAATTTTATTCTGGTGGGAACTGGGAAGCATATGTATTTGGTGCATTCAATACTTCATGGTTTAAAATTCCAAGTGATTACAATAGTGTCGTAAGAAACAAAAAAAATAATTAAAGAACATTTTTACATGAAATCAGTTTTACAACAAAATTGATTTTGGATTTTAGTATACTCAACGGGATAACTATAAAAAAATAAATAATAACCATAGGGCAGTGGCAGATCTTAAATATAAATGATGGTCAAATATTTAAAATTAGGGCCAGCTCCTTCACTTAATTAAAATGTATTGTTTAAAATAATTAAAATATTAAACAGGGTTGGGCGAGAGAAGAAGAATACCCCCTAAAAATTAAATTTTTAACATATTACTTCCAACTCAAATCTAACTCTTACCTATAACAACAACCAAAAATCAGAGGTCAGCTGGTGGCCAGTTGGTCGTATTAAATAATTTGGGCCTAAATTATTATTTTTAAGAACAAAATAAGAAAATTCACAATTTAATTTTAGTTGTCGCTCATTATGATTATGTTATTTTCCYAATTAAATTCTTATACAACCATACAGGCATACCCACGCCATACCAGATCATTAACTATTATCTTCATTTTCAGTAAAATATGCCTCAAAGTTTTAACATCACTGACTGATRTGTCGCCTACCCAGTCCGCTCCTGACAATAGATGCCTCAATTATTTAAAATTACATAAATATTAAGTACAAATAAATAGAATACAATTAGGTATGCATTCAAATTATTATAAATACAAATTATATTTGAATTCTAATGAATTTAACTCTTTATACAATTATTTCTGAGTTAAACTAAAAAACAATTTTTCTTATATATCCATATTATGCAAGCATAGACGCAATTTAAAAAAAAAAAAATTAAAGAGTTTATTATGTCATTTTAGTTTTTTTTTTTTTTTGTACGGAGAAGTTTTCGATATATTAACATGAGGATTATTTGAAGGTGCCAAACTACTACTTTTAAAATTGTGTGTGCTAATACCCCTTAAGCCCATCTCCTATTTGTAYGCATGTATGCACTTATTAAATTATTAAATGCCATTTATAAATATTTAAAATTATAAAATACCTTAAATTTAGCGCATAAATACATGACATTTTCACTAAATATTTGTATTACCGATTTATCATTTTTTCAACACTGMAACATTTTCTAAATATTTTCACTGTTTTAGCATTATTTATGTGCGTAAGCATATGTAATGTTTATTAATTGTTTTAGATTTAGTTAATAGTGAATGATTGTGTTGATTTTAAAGTGATGTTTTTATTTTCTGTWATTAAAATTTGTGCTAATAAAAATGCTCCAATTCTCGACGTCATCTTTTTTGATGGAAAAGTGAATCTAAAAAATTCTTATAATTTTTAAAAACTTCAATTTTATTTTTTTGGTGTAACTCAAAAAATAATAACCTTATATAGGTACTAGAATTACTCCACATTTGGAAATGATAATTTTTCATTCATATTAAAATTTTCAAATTATTTCAACTCTTTTTGAGCTATTTAATTAAATGAGTTTAAACCCATGAGATATTTTCAATTTTTATTAATTTTTTTAAATACTAAATTTGATTATTTATTTAAGTATCATTTTTTCTTTTTTGTATGCAACAATTTATTTTTTAATCAAATAAATATACATTACAACTATACACACTCAACAACTATACTGTACAACAGACCAATCTACTTGTCTACCTTTTAAAATATTGTCGATAAAATGAAAATTTAATTTAAGATTCCTTGTAAATTTTCCAGCCTTTTAAAAAAAAGTTTACCGGAAATGTCAAATACCTGAAATACCTATAATTACTAACCACAAATTTCGAAATAGGTATAAGGTATTAGGTATTAATAAGGTTTTAACTAAAATCATTATTTTACAAAATAATCTGTGGCCTGTAGTGTTATTATTTAACAGTCCATTCAATGAGTAACCTACAACCGACTGATATTTGACCTATCCTTATGTTTTCCGAGCCAATATGCGACCTACGGCCAATGTGCCTATTTTTCTATTCGGATATACATGATCCATGGAAATATGCAGGGCCATATTTAGGGGGGAACTACAGGGTGCTGTTGCCCTGGACGGCTGAGTAGGAGAGGGCTAATTTTTTTATAATTTAAATTTGTATTTTTTATAATGATTAATGAGGCGTTTTGTTGCCCCTTGGTGTCAAATTTCTAAATACGGCCCTGAAAATATGTACATTTTTTTTATAGAGATACAGATGTGGTATATTTTCACAGTATATGTGATGAATGTAAGCCATTCAGTTACAATATCACTACCATTATTGTGAATTTAAGTCATACTATAGAATAATAATAATATAGTTTTAGTAAATTAAAAATTTTAAACACAGTGTTATTGTGAGTTTTAGTAAAATTTAGATTTTTATTCTGAGTGCAACATTAGGATATCTTGACATATACACRATGGAAAAAATATAATATTTAAATATATACTATATAAACATTTATTTGTTTATTATAAAATGATGTACAGGCTCAAAACATAACAATGATAACAAAATTTAATTTCTAAGATATTGTTGTAAAAAMAAAACTTTTAATTTTAGAGTATGTATGCTATAATTTACTAAGATTTGTAACAGAATTAAAAACTTAAAATTAAAATTAGGAATAATTCAAAAATTTAACAAACGTTTTCTATGAATTGATTTTTATATCAAAAAAATTGGACCAAGCTTTAATAATTAAATATTTATTAAAAAAAACTTAAGTAGTTTTAATGACAACAAAAGTAATTACAAAGAAAAAGTTTATAGAAAAATGAAGAAAATAAATGATGTAAAAACAAAGTAATAGTATAAAATTAATTATAAGAGGTTCACAAACAATAGACTAACAGAATATTTGTCACAATTAAAAAAACATTCATTTTTTATTAATTACTATGGTAAAAAGTAGTATCACTTTTGTAATGAAAATATCAATGAGGATTTAAATACAATCATATAACAACAAAAATTGAGCYAAACAAATACAATAACCAATTAAAATTATCTACATGCGTTTATTAATGACGGATAAGAAAGTAAAAATATTTATTGACGTATATTGTTTATGGACTCGTTGATAAATTTCCTAAAATAATAAAAACACATATACAGATCTTTAATTATTAAACATATATAATGAATTGAAAATATTATTACAATAATCAATACTATACAATTCCATGATTATGTAAGACATAAGAAATTATTTAGTAATGCGTACTCTTGAAAAAAAATTGAAGTACTCACCTAGTCCGATTTCCTAATTCCTTATCTTTACATATATGCTTATGTCCATACTTATAATGTTTATCATACAACACAAATTCAGTTGTAACATCTGTTCTAGTTTCCAATAGATGTTTGTACAACTAAAATTAAAAAATAGTAAAAAATGAATAAATAATTATTTGTAAGTACAAAATTTGTCAGAGAAAAATACACTAAGAAGTTTAATTAGTGTTGGTTTATTATAAATGTTTGACAAATATAAAAGAACTAACAATTGATTGATTAAAATTTAGGACTAATAATATAAAAATCACAAACGAAGATTAATAAAATTATAAATATTTACAATAATTAAAAGTTAAAATAATGAGAATGATGAGTTACCTTTTCACCTAGTTCATAAGGTATTACAATATCATCCCGTGCATGTAAAATCAATATTGGCATTTTAGTATTCATTAAATTTGTCACAGTATCAAAAATAATATTATTCTTCTCAACTGGTTCAATGATGAAAAACTCAAACCAAGGTAATAGTCGATGAATCTATATTATATATATATATATTGAAACATAATATATCATTAAATATCAATGAATAACAACAAAATATTATGATTTATAATTTATTACGCTATAGTCATATATGTATATTGCAGTTCTAAAATATATAAAACTTTTTAAAAATAAAATAACAATCAGTAAGCTACAACAGAAACACCATTATAAAAGTAGAGACAGTTATATAACAGAATGTCCAATAAAAAATTTCCATGAAGAAATTCCTTAATTATTATTTAATTAGTATGTCCCTAAAAAAATTGCCTTTAATTTAAATGTTCTTTATTAACATCTGATTCATTGAAATTCCATGTAAAAAAAGAAATATAATACATAAAGAAGAAAGAGTAGAAATAAATAACTAATTAAGATTAAATTATATAAGTCACACTGGGTGATTTTTTAAACATGCTCACTCCCATTTTCTCCTTTAATAGTAAATTTATTCATATTCTGTTTTTAGAAATTTAATTAGACTTAGAGACCATATTTTCAAATTTCTGATATTTTTTGTACTACTTAAGGTGTATCCTGTAGTGATACCATCTTCTATTTTTAAAATGAAAGTTCTAATGAATAGTTTCTGAGTTAATACAATGTTTAAACTAAGGATAATCTTCTTTTCCTTCACCTTTTCTACCAACTATTTGGGGTCGGCCATTTAAACTAAGAATAATAATCCTTAAAAATGGTTCTATAAAATAAAAATAAAAATGAAACACAACGATTGTTGTTAAAATTACAGTTGTTACGTCTATATTGTTACTTGTTTTTATACAAATCTATATATTTATATATAACTAKCTGGACCCATGCACTTCGTAGCCCGTTAAAAATCCTACCTCTTGAATGTCTCAAACTGTGTGTTAAATTCGTTACCTTTGATCATGCTAGCAGTTTTTTTTTTTTATACATAAAGATCGATAATGGTTTAAATATACTAAGTAATAATCTTACACAGAAAATCAATTTAGTTTATTAATATGTAATTTTATTTTTTTATCGATAAAAGCTGACAATTCAAGTATTCAATTCAATGATATTTATTGAAATGTATTAGGATACACAATACTTTTTGTTCTTCCTTCTGGAGCATACACAAATAAATCAGTAGGATTTTCGACGAGTGAGCATGCCACATACAGTTGCCCATGTGAGACTTTCTCATTTCTCAGTAAGTATGGATTTTCCAAATTTAGTCCACACACTTATAGCGATTGTCCTTGTGCTTTGTTGATAATCATTGCAAAGGCGAGTCGTACTGGAAAACAAGGGGGCCAAACGGGCCATTGCCCCTACTGGGAATATTTTAAGGATATGTTCCGTATCTGGCATTGGTAATAATGATCCCGCACGATGATAGATTTGACCTTGCACTTTGAATGTTGGCATTTAATTGTCAAACACAATATTAAATATTTGCTGCCCCGAATGATGTCATTTGGAAACATAAATTGTATTTGCGGATGTTCGCTAAGAAACGTTTCAATAAACTCGTTTCACCTGATACTAACGTTGATAATGGTTCTGGTGGTGTATGTAATTCTGAAAATTTTACTTTTCTTCCAGCACAGTACATACCTGATACCTCATTTTTAAATTTGAATGCTCTAAAATATATGCATAATTTATCCATTTTTCTAATAACCATACTTGGATGAATCCTGTGATTATAATTAACATTGTAATGCCCGTAATGAAATGCACTGAGATTCAAATCTGTGTGAGTGATTCGTCCATATCAAACATGAAGTTGTCTGTTGGTTTTCAATCTTGTATCTCGTTGCTTAGTTATTTCAGATGAACGGAATCGAGTTTGACGTTCTCTGGCGGTTACCAATCTTGCATCTCTTTGCTCGATTGTTTCTGAAGCTCGTATTGCCATTTTCTTTTGTGCTTGAGGCGTACAACTACTAATCGAAATTATTTTGGGAGGCATAATTTAAGAGGTAAAACTTTTAACGRACTATGAAGTGCACAGTTAACAATGATATTAATTAAGTATTATAATATTGAATTATAAGGAAAGACGAGATTAAACTTCTTGAATGACGTATAAATTACACGGCGTTTGATATGTATTTTAAGCAATTTATAATTTCCCATGGCAACCAGATCTTAGCAAATTTTATTATCTATCTATCTATCTTATATTTTATATAAATAAAAATCTTAATGCTGTTTGTAAGTCTCGCTAAAACTCGAGAACGGCTGGACCGATTTAGCTCATTTTGGTCTTAAAAAATTATTTGTGGAAGTCCAGAGAAGGTTTAAAAGGTGAGTGAGTTTGAAAATGTTCGAAATTAATTTTTTAATATCAAATTTAAATTCACATGCTTATTTGCTTGGTGTATTTCGGATATTCCCGTGACCGACAGGATATTACCTGTAACCTGACCTTTTTTCTTTTGTGTGTGTTTTATCGTCACCAGTGTATAGGTATGAATTGTTCCAAGAAGTAAAACCCGACAATATTTATCTTTATTTATAACTGTTAAACTGTGTGTACCTATTAATATCAATTGATATTGAAACCTTATAAGTAGCCAGTATTTCAGGAAAACTCTGTTTTGTAAGTATCTCATTGTTGTGACGTGACTAATATATTATCTCTGTGCCAAATTTCATCGCAATTGGTCCACCCGTTTAGGAATGCATRAATGACAAACAGACAGATAGACAGAAATCCATTTTTAATTTTTATGTATATAGATTATAAATATAATAGTAATACATCTATATTTATATTATAATTATAATTATAATTTATATTATATAAATATATAATATTTAAAATGTATAATTCATTTATAATTTCAAGGGTCCCATACTTTTGAAAGAAGTTTTACTTCCCCAAAGAGTAACAGTGGGCTCACACACTCTTGTGTAAACTATATATAAAATGATGTTAGATTTAGTATTTATTATACATTTTTACAAATTATTTATATTGATTAATCGATAAGAATTATTTTATTTTTCATATCTTCTAAGCCCCCTACTATCTACTAAACCCATTACCATAGATATATTATCCTTAAAACATTAAGTTACATAACTCAAAAACTAATAGTTTGAGTTTTGATTAAGGATACATAAAAATTCTTAAAACAAATCTGCTTGTTAATAAAAAATAAAAAGGAAGTTTCTATTTAAAAAAAAAAAAAAACTATAGTTTGTATTATCATAGGATTGTCCTTAATTAGTACAAAAAATGTCAATGATTCGAAAAAGTGTCTTCAAGTGTATTTAAAAATTCCAAAATTTAAATCAATTAATTTAATATATGCATGAATTAACCATAAAAATAGTATGAGAATGCTTAAAAAATCACCCAGTATAGTACATATCAATACCTATTTTCATTAAAATAAATGGAAGAGCTATTAGTTTATTAAAATATTTTTCTTATTTTTGAATTATTTAAACAAACTTTCTCTAAGGCACCTAAAATTCTTTAAGAATTTTTTCCCAGTCTTAAAAACCTTAGACATTGTATTTTTTAAATATTTTTTTTATTTATAATAAATTCTAATTTCTAAGTATACCAAAAAGTATGATTTTATTATTTTCACCAACACCATAATTATTAAAAAATGTTAATAATATTATCAATGCATTTAATTTAAACGTGGAAATAGATTTTGTCAAGGAAATGCAGTACATTAAGTTGATTTATATGATTGAAAATAATTCAATAATAGTGTTAATATTTTACCTTAGTAAGCGGATATTCGCGTATTTCGTCACTCATTTTTGTAAATGGAGCTTCTAATATGAGACCATTTGGATAAAGACCTTCTTTCTCCAGCAGTGAATATGCATGTGCTCCGATTCTGTATAATTATTTTTATTTTATTTGCAATTAAAAAATTAATAATTAAATCAGAATATTAAAATTTTTAACTTACCCAGTTCCCAAAGAATGACCCCAGCCAAAAATCGGGGTGCCATTAGCACGTTTATGCACCCATCTAAACATTTCCATAGCATCTGTAACTACTCCAAGCTCACTGACTTCAACATCAGTAGAATCGGCATAACCTTGGGTAAAAAATAATTGAAATTTATAAACATAACAAAGAAAAAAGAATTTAAAAATTGTCTCAGTGACATACTTCTATAGTCTACTGCTATTACATGACAGTTGATATCTTGAAGCACATGATATAACTGAACCCGATGTTCATTTGCCCGCGTGCCTGAGTTGCCATGCATATATATCACAATTGGCTCACCATGACTTAAAAGTTGTTCATAAGTTGAATTATCATCCTCGTATTTATCCAACAAATTATGTGGTAAAACATGCCTGTAATATGATAAAATAATCAAATACAAAATGCAAGGTTAYTTACAAAATATTATATTCTAATATTTGTAATTTGTAAGTTATACAAAAACATAAAAAGATAATTTTTAGTAAATATATTTTTAGTTTAACTAAATAAGAAAATTCTATTACATTTAAGGATATTTAAATTGTACGAGTAAGCTCTAAACATTTAAATGACACTGTAAATTAGTTAACAAATACAATGTGTCATTGACCATTGTGTTAAGATCCTAAATAAAAATTTCTAACTTAAAGATAATTTAAAACTAATAGAGAACTTTATACAGTGTTACATAAATAAAGAATTAACTCATAGTTAAATTTATTACTAGTATATTTATTCAAGTTCATCTGTAAATTGTAACCACTATAGTAGGTTATACATTTATAAATTATTTTATCAATCTATTAAACATAGAATACAAATAGAATAATAAATAACTATTTAATTTATTTTATTTGAGATGGCTCAATTTATATAATGAGAAGTACATACCAGACACCTAATGTCATATTGTCATTTGTTTTTATATAGAAATTTCTAGTTCCTCTGATACCATACTTTTCGGGATGACTATAATTAACAGCAGATGGCATACGAACTGAAATAAAATAATTAAGTAAATTATATAAATTTGTTTTCCAAAGCATTATCTGTAATGTGCCAATTTAGTAAACATTACTTTTAAATTGTAAGCATAAAATGTATAAAAAAATTTTCATTTATTTTTTAAATTAATTTTGCCCCACCATAGAATTTGTGTAACTACTATCTATTAAAACCAACAAATTTAGGCAAGTCATTCTTGCATCAAAATTTGCTTAGCATCATTGCTCTAGAGTAAGAAATAGAAAATAATTTTAGAATGAATAAAAAATGTTATTATAATGAAATAATAAATAAATATTAAAGCAAAAAATACACACAAAGTTTGAATAATTATCTGGTTATTGATTAATTATTATAAATATTAGAGAATATCATTAATGATGACCGATTATCATATAGTATTATAAACATTAAGTTATGAGAATTAAATATAAATTTGTTATTTTCAAAATAAAATAAAATAAAATAATTTGTTACCATAATTTAGGAATATCATTCCTCTTTGAAGTGATGGTGAATATCGAAAAACAATTGGTATAACTATGAATACAAGAAATATAATTATAGCAAAGAAACTTGATGTTATGCAGCATGTTCTGAAAAATACAATATTAAATCAAATATGTATAGAGTATACAATAATAAATTAATTAAAAATAAAAAAAACTATGATTGATAAAATTGTTAATTCCTATTTTTAATATATAAGTATTTAATGACAATATCATCTGATGATGAGTTCTTCTATTTTAAAAATTTTACATGCACAAATAATAATGCCAACAATGAATTATTTTATTCAAAAATTATTCACAATTTATATACCTACCTATGTTATTTAAAATCTATACCAGGTTCTTTCATAAAGTAAATAATAATAAAAATATTTAAATTTGTTTATTAGTACCCAAATACTAATCAGTTATCACAAATATCTAAGCAAATATATGAGTATATAGTATATGAGTTAGAGAGTTACAGTTGAATTGTAAAGGCCTTAAAAATAAGATTCTCGGCTTACTCTGGGCCACAAGATGCAGCTTGAACTTTCTGGGGTCCTGGCGATTTATTCAAAAATAATCTTTTTTCAAACTACTACCTGCTAAAAATCTAACATATTATATTTTGTAGTATTAGTTAATTTTATTGATACACATTCTAAAACTGGACTAGATTTGACTAATATTACATTGAGAAATGAAATGGTATAATAGTGTTGATGTTGAACTACAAAATTACAAGACTAGAATATAACAATAGTTCAAAAATTTGAAGACTGTACCTGATAAAAAATATTTCAATTGAAGGACTTGGGTAAATTTTTAGTCATTGTTAGCGCCATAACTTTAAAGTTATGTGTTATTAAATATTTTTAAAAATCAGTTGCAACATTTTTTGTTACAGTACAACAAAATAAATTTATATTGTTTGAATTCTTAGTAAATAACTTATATATTTTAAAATAAACCTAATTCAGTATGAAAAACCATTAGAAATGGGTATTTACTATTTACCCAAGTAACCTCATTAGGCTAGGCTCAATATAATTACCTATGACGCCTATCTTTCACATGAAAAAATTACTCACTTTACACAATAATAAATTTTATAGGTAAGTAAATTATTGTGTGAAATGAGTAACTTTAGCACATAATAGATAGACAATTAAGAAGAAATTGCACACGCATGTGTCGTCTTCGTCTTACACAAGTACAATAAACCAGATTTAATATTTTAAAATGCTTAGAACTCACTTAAAAATTAAAATATTGTAAAAAACAGAACGAGAAAACACAAATAATGTTCTAGCCTAAAAGTTTTATATTAGGTCAATTCACTCTAATATCAATGCTGACACCATCCTATTGATAATAGCGAATGGAAATCTRGTATGTAGCATGTAAGTAAGACAGAGACGACACATGCAGGTGCGACTTCCTTTTAAGATGAGTTCAGTCCAATGACGTCACATGTTTGTTACAACTCATTGAACAATGTGAGTAGAATGAGTAGATACATTAAATCTATACCATTTTTTTTAAGAATTAAAAATGCATTCAAATTAAWAAAACTGTTGTATTTTGTGCTCTTTTAAAATAATATATATATATATGTATATTGAATTATGATTAAATTGTTTTTAATAGCTTTGACTACAATAGTTTAATATTTAATAATAATTTGAAGAAAAGTTTTTTTTTGTTTTATGTACACCTTACAATATCTAGTTGAGATTTTTGTATAACACATAATTATAAATAAATTTTTCCTAAATTAAATCAAAATGAGTTAGTCTTTAAAGTTTAATTAATGATTTTTCACAATTTAAAATTTACTATAGCAATTTAGTATCATTGTATTTATCAAATACCTACTATTGTTAAAATATTATTATTATTTTTAAAATTAAAAATAGCAGTTATTTATTATTTATAGAGATTTACTGAATTATAATAATATGGAAGATGTAGACATGCACATCAGTAATAATTTAAAAATAATGTGTGTGAATTTTAAGYTATATATTTATGTATATATTTTTTTTAACATGTAATAACAATTATTATAGGTAAGGATCAAATGTAAATTTAAATTACTTTCCTTTAATTCAAAGTATTACTTATATTTACTAAAATATTTAGATAAAACAACTTATACATTTACTAAACTAAATATAAAATTAGATATAAGTWGATTTAATGACTTTTTTAACTCATGCTAACTATTATACTATCTATTTAACTATTTTAACCAATGAGCAAACATACACAAAAATAAATTAAATTAAATTTTACTTTAATAAATTTAGTGATACCATAACAACATTGCAGGCAGGGTTGCGCAGTATCTTAGATACAAAATTGTATCTTGTATCGCGATACATTTTTAATCAATTTATCTAGTATTTAATAAAATAATTTATGATGCGATACAAGATACAACTCTGATTTTACTATCAAAATAATAATTAATAATCCAAAAATTAATATTTTTATTTAATATTGTAGATTATTGTTGGAAATAATTGTTCAACCCAGTACCAATAAATCATAAAATATAGTTATATATGTGATGTATATTGTATATAATATACATGTATATATATCTGTGACACACATTGAATTGGACTTTACGTCTGTACTTTATTAGATATCCGTAATTTTATATAATAGTGTAGGTAGCTAAAAGTTACTACGTTATAGTGTAACTTTTGCAATAAAGTAGATGTTTTATTACTAATGTATTATTATTACTGAATAAGTGTCAATTTTTATTATTTTATTTGCCATTCTAATTAATTAATGAAGTGCCCATCCCCATAATTTTTAAAAATCCAGTGACTAATTGTATTAAAATGTATCGAGTATCGAGTATCTAGTATCGCGATACTCCAAAGTAAAGTATCTTGTATCTAGTATCTCGATACTCCTTTTTGAGTATCTTCCCTAACCCTGATTGTAAGTTCTACAAAATAAAATAACATTATTTAGATTTTAATATTTAACAACAACAAAAATTAATCAATTAATTTTGTCTAGTGATAGTTGATATATTATAAATTATTATAAAAGTTAATATTATTCAGGATAAAGGTAAAATTATTATTTTTTTACTTATTAGTATATGATTTCATGCAAAGCAATAGCTAATCAAATTCTTAAGTGGATTATTCAAATTCTTAGTCATTATTTGTTGATTATAATATATAAATAATTTTAGGTAAGCCCAGAGAATTAAATTAATTAAGATAATTACTGTGACTAAAAGCAATCTATAATAAGTACAAATATATTTTAGTGTTATGCTATACATTTTAAATTTTAATTCTTAAAATAAATTAATTGGTTAATTTTTATTTCAGTCAATATAGTATGTAAATGAAATGCAGTCTTAATATTATTATTACTTACGCGAAAACACAAATTAACAAGAATATCATCACAGGTTTCATAAATGAAAAACACATGCATGGTGCCATTATTGAGATATATGTATTTTATCACAGCACAATGAAGCTATAATAAAGTAGTTTGATATTGAAAGATCTATAATACAACAATCCTGTAACATAATATTTAATCCATAGCAATCAATGCTAAATTTAGTAAGCTATCTACATTTTTATAGAATACATAGTTCATATTTTTAATATTTAATATATTATAGTACGGTTATTATTTAATAATTAATTTGATTATTTATGGAATATTCACACAAAACCAGTTTTTAAGCAAATCAATTTTTTTTTATTTAAAAATAAACTGCTGTTGAGACTTTTCACCACATATTTATACTAGTTTTTTTTCTATTTATAAATATTTTAAATATTTTATTTATGCATGATAAATTAGGTATGAAATTTATAGTAATGATTTATCATCAAACTGACTTTAGGCAAAAAGCAAATACAATGATACAAATAATTCAAAGTTTACCATAAGTATTTTATATTGAAATTCAAAAATGTAAGTAATACATGTGATCAAAATTGTTTCTCTAGATATTTCAAGTTTATAATTGACAAATAGGATATTTATATAGACAATATATAAATAGAATATTAATAGACAGATAGCCTTCATACAGAATCACTTTTACTATATCAGTGGCCCACTCAACACCTACTGTACAGTGGAACAGTCCTACTTTCCAACTTTTTTTTATGAACACCTACTATGGTTACAAAGTAAAACTATTTTCAACTACAATGCGTAAAGTAAGCCAATTATTTTTTCTTAATAATTATTTAAAGGAAATTATTCGATTCACGTTCCTTGTAAGATTTTGGATGATTATCCAAGTATTTTAGGATTTATTGGAGTTTTAAAATTATAACTTTTACATTACACAAATTTATCAGGTATTCAAAACATTGCCAGAAATTTCTACTTTCCTCATAACATAATATTTTATATTATATCAGTATTCAATATAATATTAACACCTGTCCTAATATTTATCACCTATACAGTTGTKAACTCAATGTACCTAAAATAAAAATATTCATGGAGTTGATTGCCTATAATGAGACCACCTACTGTGCATGCTTATGTTTATTAATTATTTATTTTATATTTAATTATTAATTGTTGATATTGTTTTTATATTGATTTATTCAAAGTAGCAAAATACAAATGTTTCTGCTATGATACAGCCATGTTTTTATTTGGGCAATGGACTAAAAGCCTAAAACGATTGACAATACAATGTTTTACACCACATTTCATTTATAAAATGACTATTTTTAATTTAAAAAAAAAAACCATTATGTAACTAATTAATGATAATTAGTAAATTATAATTTTGATTTTTTACTATAGAACTTCTAAGCTCAATGATAATTATATCAATATACTATGATTTTCCTACATATTAGTTTAAAAAAATTATTTATTGTGAATTCTAATTATATCTTTGAATTTAAATAACTCATGATCTTGAATTAAATTCTTATATTATGTACAAAATATTTTATGAAAATCATAAATATGGGTTATTCATTAAGTTATAACTTGAACTCAGATTTAAATGCCCTAAAAATATCAAAAAATGCATTTAATATGTAAATTTGTCTAGTTACGTAAAAAAAAATAGAATTTGTATCACATCGCACTACTGAACTATACTGTAATACTACTTTACTCTGGCCCACGAGAGATCTGTAACGCTATTAGACCAAAAATCGTCCGATTCCGCGCATCCCCTGTGTAGTGCGCCAAGGYTACAGCACATGGTGGGGGAAATTCCGTCGCTGACGGTTGTTCTCAGCGTGCGCGTGACGGTATTKATCTCTTGTGGGCCGGAGTATATAAAAATTGTATGTAATTAAATCAGCTAATTGGCTGGTGTGACACAAAGATCAATTTCAGCTTTGTCTAATTTAAAACTAGATTACTTGTTATATATAATTTATATATTTCAATGAATTCATTTTTTTTCTGACAAAAATGTCTTGAAAAAATAAAAATGCAATTATAGATGTTAAAATTGCTCCAAAAACATTTTTTTTTTGGTTACAACATGAAGCACTTGATACACATTTATAGTTATAGCTAGGAAAACATTGTGTAAGACATTAAATAAAAAAAGATATGTAAATGTTGAACTCCAAGCCTTAATTAGTATAACATTCAAAATTTTTATTTTGTAATTATTTGTATCTAAAGTTCTTTAAAAGTAATTTTGAGTTCCACAACTGTTCTAAATTTTTTAATAAATTCTAGAACTTGACACGTAATTTATAAAAACTGTTTAAACTTTAAACGACAAAATTCTTGTCACATGTATACTAAAATGTTAAGACTATTATTCTATAATGATTTAATAATTTATTAGTCATAATTTTAAGGTRAAAATAGAAAAAAATATCTATACATTCTATACATGAAACCTGAATTAACCTACTCAAATAAAACTATCATGTTAAATATATTTAATATACATTAGACATTCCACCAAAACGTCGTCCAAAACCACCAATTATAGTCAGAAATAATAGGCACCACACCAACATGTTAATAAGAGCACTAGTATTGTTATTATTCTTATTCAATTTAATTAACATAATTCATTTAAACATATTATATTTCAAAAATTAAAAAATTAAATATTTAGAATTTTACTTTATTTTATTTAGATTAATTTTGGTTATATTTCAAATATATWAATGTACTAATGAATACAGATGTACACTTTCTAAAAAAATTTTTAGAAATCTTATTAAGATTATATAGTTACTCTTTTTTCATTAAAAATAAAACTTGTATATATTATGTTAATATTTTAAATT